CTCTGCACTGGCCATTTTTAATACCTCTCCAGCAGATTCTGATGTGGCAATGTGTCACATTTTATCATTGCTTTTGGGGGAGAAGAAATGATGAACTACTTGTCCCACTATACTGGAAATCCTGCCTCTGCACTGGCCATTTTTAATACCTCTCCAGCAGATTCTGATGTGAAACTAGGGTAGAGAATCACTGAGTTAGGGTGTGATTACAGGAGAATGGATCTTGATTTCACTTCGTTCAATAAACAAAGTTTATTGAACAGTGTCAGGCAATGGATACCTTCACACATCCTTGCTAAGGATATAAAGATAACTGAGACCATCCCTCCCCTTCCATAGTCACAGTCAGTGGGAAAGACAGATAGAGAGACCAGTAATGCAGAATAATCATGAACACATAGGGATGGCAATGCTGGCTCTGGGAGCACAGTCAGCAATGACAATGCATCATTTTTCTGAACCGTGCTGATAGTCTGTGAGAATATCTTCAGAAAGTAATGTAGCCATTAAGAAATTCCATGCTTGACATAAGTATGAACAAATTTATTTATCCTGGGGAATCTGGGACAATTTTCCAAAAGTATGTGGTGATTATAAACATAAAGGACTAGCATTTTACTTTATGTAAACGTTAATGAGTTTTTTTTTTTGCTTTATTTTTAACTGGACTGTGATGATTTCATAACCTTTATGTGAATAAATTCAGGAATAGCAAATCAACCTCAGAGTTGTGGGCAGTGTGAGATGGTGTTATGGTCTCCAAAGCAGGGAGTCCACAAAGATAAGCTATGGAAATATAGGGAAAAATATTAACACTTCTATTTTTTTTAAATCAAATTTATACTTTAAAATTTTTCTATTGACTGAATGTTTTCTAAGGCAAGAATATTTATATTTTATATGCATAGAAATAAGTAAGCAAACATATATACGTGGTGTGCCCCCAGTATTTTTCGATCGAGAGTACTCAATCACAAAAATTGGAAACCACTGGTATAGAGGAAAGAACACTAACCCAAAAATCAAGAAGAGATGGGAGTTAGTCCCATTTCAGCTACCAACTTGCCTATGTGAACATGGGCAAGTTACAAAAACTCTAGGCCTTTATTTCCACATCTGTAAAGTGAGGGGCCTGGTATAAATATCCCTGAGATCTTTCCAGCTCTAGGATTTTGTTTTTGTCCTTGATTTTCCTATAAAACATTATTATGAAATTGTAAGAGCAGAAGATTATATATTTTTTTTCTGTTCAGTATTTGAAGTAGATGCAGGTGTAAGCCTATTTCTGAGTTCCTGGGGAATTTCCAGAGAGTGCTTGGCTGTGTCCGTTCTCTGTGGTGCAGCTTGTCATAGGTGTGATACTGTTATACACACCAGGATATTTATTTAAAATCTGCTAACTGTAGCCATAGTAACAGAGGACATAGCACTATCAGTAGCAGAGTACAAAAAAATGTACCTAGACACAGTTATAGATACATAGATGCATACGTGTGCATGCACAGTCAATCCTTGCCTATTGCTTAATTTCATTCCCTTCATAACTTGAAATTCAGAAAGATTCAAGGTTCAAGCTGAGTACATAAAGAATGCTACGTGTACTTTTGATAGTTAAAAGATCTACACAAATCCATACATATGAAGTTTAGTGTCTACTCAGAAGCTGAGTGGTTAAATAGAGTATTATTTTCAAATTTTAGATAAAACTAAAAGCCCAAGAGGTTAGTAAACCCTTACCTAGCTCTTTAAGTTCAAAGAAATTTAAAATCTACATATTTTATTTAACTCCTCTGAAAACATTATTCAACTTTAAAATTCAATAGAATAAGATGTTGCACTTCAGTGTTCACGGATTAAAACAAAATAGACTATTCATGGCTTTTTTTCAAATAATAGCACTGATTATTACATAGTCAGTTTCTTAAAACTTTGTGTTTTATTTAGTTTTGATTTAGTATTGTTTCCTAGCATCAATAAATAACAGCATTACTAAATCATCTGTTGGCATAGTATTTTAATATCCAATCCATCACGCACTCTTTTTCATTAGAAATCAAAAGCTTGAAGAAACTTGCAAAACAAAGAGGAAGATTTTGTATTTTCTAAATAATACGATGTAATACATTATAATGCTTTTATGAAGTCTGTTGTTCCTGATGACATAAGAAATAGAGGCTTGTGATAGTGTCATGAATCTTAAGCATAAGTTAACTATTAAAAATCAGCTGCTGTGATTGACCTGTGAGAATAGAATAATCACATTCTGGCATGTTCTATATAATAAAGATTTGTCTTAAGGGAAAAATGACAGGAAAAGGAGCAACACAACAAAAAGAATGACAAATCATAGCTATTTTGATGTAAAAAATATTGAAAAATATGAGCTCATGAGATTATTACTGTAGGCACTAGAAAGGAAGTAAAGAGAAAAGAGCAAAAAATGGAAAATAGAGAAACTAGAAAATCCAGCTGTCCTAGAAATACGAAAACAAATGAAACTCTTAAGCCACATAATTTTGTTTTGTATAGTAATGGAATAAAGTGGTGATGGAAAATACTACTTTAAACTTAGACCTGTATAAGCACAGCTTGTACTTTGTGAACTGCTGGGGAAATAGAATGCAGTCATTTTGCTGCTGCCTGCAACAGCCAGCCAGGAACAATTTTCACTCCAGCTTCCATTTGGTAACCAATCCACAAGCTTGATTCAAGGTTTTAACCTTTAATTTTAATGCTGATCATAGAAAAAATAGTTAAATATTCTCCCTGGAGGGAGGGAGTGGGAAGCGAGGGAGGAAGAGATTTGCCATGTCCATGCGACCACTCCAGAGTATTAAAGGCAGAGCCCACCCTGCGTTCCGGGCCCGGAGCCACTCCACACTCTGCTTGTGCTATATGTTTTCTTTCATTATTATATATTCATTTTGTGTCATGTATATGTTTGGCCTGTCTTCTGCTTTCAATTTAGGTAATCCCTTTTGCTTTTCCAGATGATTTTCAAAGATTAGGAAATGGTCAAGGTGTGGATGGTTTGGAAGGTTTTGTTGTTTGAACTGGACAGCTGAGCTTTTCCTATGCCACACCACTCAGATGCTTCACCTTCTTTTCAAATCGTCGCTAGACCGGGGACTTTTTTTGTATTAATTTTTTCTGAAAGAAAAAGTTTCAGATTTACAGAAAACTTGCAAAGATCATCAGAGAGTTCCTGCACAGCCCCTATTGTTAACATCTTTCATGACCATGTAGACCACAGCTTTTAACTCTGAGTCTGTGGATTGACTTCAGGGCATCCATGAACTCCTGAAATTTACACCAAATTTTATGTTAGTATGAAAATGTATTTCATTTCATTCAGGAACTATATAGATTAAGATTATGCTTTTCCTTTTTTCAATCCTTTCTCTCGGCAATCTCTGCTCTCATGTTTTCCACCTCTCTAGTAAATTTTTTGCTTTATTAGAACACTAACTACCTCCAAGTGCACATTTTCTTCAGTGTGCACAGGCAGGTAGGACCGACCAAAGGGTTCCTTATCACACCCCTGTAATCCTCAGAGTCACTCAGTGCCGTGTGTTCACATAAAATATTTTTATTACCTGTAGTGCTTGATAAGTCCAGTGTTCCTTCACACTGAGTCTGTCTGCATAAAGTTCTCAAAGTATGAAGCGAGGGTCCTGTATCAGAATTATCTGGGTTCCCTTATAAAATGATATAATCTTGGGCCACTATCTTGAAAAGGGTCCCCCAAGGGGATTTGGATGCACAGTGTATCAAAACCATTTATATAGTCTGCCTACATTTTGAACATTACCTTAACAACAAAGCGTATTTGGAACTGTGAGGAAAATAGAATAGTTTAATCAGGCCCCCTCTCCTCCAGTCCAGTTGGGGGTGGTGTGCACATTCCTTGTAAACAAGTTATGTGTGGATGGATTGTTGCGCATGCACGCCAATGTATCTTTTTAGTTTTGTTGCTATTCTTGTGTTCTTCAGAGTTTGTGAAGGGGACAGCTGGCAGAGCTCACCTCTAAAAATAGAGCATGTTTACTCTACTGGCAGCTGCTCAGTTTTACTTTGGACTTTGCTGGTAGCAGTGGAGTTCTCAGTTTTTTTTTTTTTTTTTTTTTTGTCCTTTTTGTGACCAGTAAGGGGATCGCAACCCTTGGTGCGGTGTCACCGCACCGCGCTCAGCCAGCCAGCGCACCGGCCATCCTTATATAGGATCCGAACCGCGGCGGGAGCGCTGCTGCTCTCCCAAGAGCTGCACTCTCCCAAGTGCGCCATGGGGCCGGCCCGGAGTTCTCAGTTTTTCAGTGGACTTTGCCTGTAGCAGTTGAGTTTCTGAGTTTCTATGTGGACTGTTTAGCTCATAGTGTTGTGTCTGCTGACTAAAGACTATTCCTTCTTTAACCAAGGCTCCAAGGACCTTTTTGTTCAGTTGCCTAGCTTGTAGACCTGCGTGTGAAGGTTTTGTGACCCAGTCTGGACAACAGGCTTGAGGGGTCTGTGAGCTCCAGACCCAGCCCTACAGGAACTATTATGAAAAGATTACTCTTTACCCTTGAAACTTTAAGGGGAAAAAAACCCATGAAATCAAAATAGACCTATTTTTCTTGTGTGTCTGTATAGAGTGTACTATGTGAGGTCTTTCTAACTCCACTTTCTTTTTTTTTTTTTCCTTTTTGTCTTTTTTCGTGACCGGTAACGGTATCGCAACCCTCGGTGTCGCGCCCGCACTGCGCTCAACCAGTGAGCGGACCGGTCTCTCTACATGGGATCCGAACCCTCGGCGGGAGCACCGCTGCGCTCCCAAGCGCCGCACTCTACCGAGTGCGCCACCGGGCCGGCCCTCCACTTTAATTCTAAAGATAAAAAATAATTATACTGTTCAAGATTTAGGATTCTGTAAAATCTCTCAAGTTAAAACTTCCTTTTATCAGTATTTTGAGTATTTTAAAACCATTTTTTGTTATTTTCTAATGTTAGGGGTTTTATTTCAGACTTACAGATTCCAGTCTGCTGTTAGAAGATTATTCATCCAAGTTGAGTCCCAAAACGAAGAGAGCCAAGAAGAGCCTTTTGTCTGGAGAGGAGAAAGAAAATCTGCCAAGCGACTACATGGTGCCTATTTTCTCAGGACGGTGTGTTGTGCTTTCTTTTCCTGGCTTTGATTATTAGAAAGTGGGGAATAAATGTTGTCAGATAATAATAATAATACAGTAGCAGCTAACATTTATTGAGCACTTACTATATACTGGTTGAGAAATTCTGAGGAAGATTGGAACCCTGCACCAGGAGAGAAGTGTTAATTGCAAAAAGGGATTTCCTTTTCAGAAATCTTTGCCATCACATAGGATGGCTACATGACAAAAGAGAAGGATTAGAATTCAATGCTACTTATGTAACTGGTTGAGATGGGAAGTAGAGCCTTGGATACTAGTGATTGAAAACTATATATAGTCAACTATGGATAGAGTAAAAAGAAAGGTTCAAAACTGTAAAATGCTGGTGAACTAAAAAATATCAACAAATGATAGGTTTAGGTAAATGGAAAGTATCTTTATTGTCACTGTAGTTTTAATTATTATTCATTAGGGAAATAAATCTAATAATTTGAATGTATGGCTTATATTTGTTCAATGGAAAATAGATTACCATTTACTTCAAGGTAAACTTCAAACAAAATAATCACTAAATCATGAGTCTCTAATGCCAACTTTCTATCTTTTTTATATAAACATTTTTTTCTGAGTGGACATAATATTGAAAGGAATCTTAAAAGGAAACTTGTCTGAGACACCAAGATTAAAGTTTAACAGGAACTTTCTGGACCTTTCCCTGTTTATTTTCCTTTGAATGGAGAGTTATTGCCATAGCTAAAGTGACACTCAAAATGAGGTCATTCTCTAAGGGCAAATGTCATGAAAAAGTAGATCCTCATTGAAAGACAGGAAATAATTGGGTTGAATTTTCGTGGCCTACTTCTGTTGCCCTGTGTTTTTCTTTCCGTTGCTCTCTGACAGTTCCTTTCTGATTTGTTTCAGAGGCTAATGTCATAATTGCTCTGAACCCAATTAGAAAGTTAAAGGAGTAAATGACATTCTAGTTTTAGCTTTTTATCTGGAGTATTTGATATCCTTNAAGTTAAAGGAGTAAATGACATTCTAGTTTTAGCTTTTTATCTGGAGTATTTGATATCCTTGACTTTTAAAGTGAACTTTCCACAGAAACATGCTTATATTACTAAGGGTGCTTGCCCAGACTTAGCCTCTTTGCAGTAGTTTAATATACATTAATACATTATTATATTATTACACAGTAATTATACATTTGGTATACAGCATTTTCATTATAGGAGATGGCTAGGATAGGAGTAAAACATTTTGTCTTTTGCTTTTTCCCACTCTGTTTTTTTTTTTTGTCTTTTTTCGTGTCCGGCAACGGATCGCAACCCTCAGTGTCGC